GCTATAATGTAAGGTTAGGAAGGTATTCAAGAGTGACCAAAGGGCCGTGGAAGTGGTGGTGAAGGTTCTGGAGGGGAAGCCATTTGAGGAGAGGCTGGAGGAGACTGAGGGGAGACCTCATCCCAGTCTGCAGCTTCCTCCTCTCTGGTGACCAATGACAGGACCCAAGGGAGCAGCTGGAGCTGTGTCAGGGGAGGGTTAGGTTGGATACCAGGAAAAGGTTCTTCCCCCAGAGGGTGGTTGGCACCGAACAGGCTCCCCAGGGCAGGGGGCACGGCCCCAAAGCTGCCAGGGCTCAAGGAGCATTTGGACAACGCTCCTGGGGACATGTTGGGATCGTTGAGGTGTCCTGTGCGGATCATAGCTGGACTCTGATCATTATATGTCCTTTTCAACTCAGGATTTTCCATGACTCCCATTCTATAATTCTCTGGTTTTGCCATTAGGATCAAAACTGGCAGAGCCATTTAGTCCCTCAGCTTTACTGGGTGGTGGTTGCTTCAAGCATGACTTCAAACTGTGCAGTTTTAAAAATGACCTGTGAGAAGATTGTGTGTGATCTTACTGGAAGTTGTGTGCTTTCCTTGTGAAGTTGTCAGTTGAGATTTGTGTGTAATATCCCATTGTCCCGCGTTAAAAACTGCTCAGGTGCAGTCAGCTCCTTCCTGGTGTTCTCTGGGCATCACAGCAACAGTGCTGGTGTTAAATAAAGTGCCCTTAGGTTTTTTTGACAGCCCCCCTTCCTAGAGCTTGAGCCCACCAGGACTTTAATTACTTAATACTCAGGAACAAGTCACAGAGAGCTGATTGCTCCTGCTGTATGGATGAGGAGTAGGCATGGCATGGCTAAACATTTTGCCTAATTTTGTGGTTTTTTTTCCTGTGGCAGAGCTGGGTTTAGTAGCCTTGCCTGTCCCAAGTTGCTGGGTATCCTCTCCCAAAGAGCTCTGGGGGAGGATGAGCTCGGGAGTGAAGGTGTTTTCAAGAGGATCCTCTTTGCAGCTGCCTGATACGGAGCGTGTTCCCAACTGTGTGCAGATTAGGGAGAACAAAAATAGTGTTATCTGTTTGAGGAATTTATTAAATACAGACACTGCTCTGGGACTTCTTGCTGTGTTCCTAGTGACTGTTGGGTGCGAGGGCTTTTAGTCTACTTACCAGCTTGAGAAAATCCCAGGGAAAATATCCCAATTAAAGGAGCTGTTGCCTTAGCTAAATCATATGTGGTATCTCTTAAACTGCTTAGTATTAAAAAAAAAAAAAAAAATCACCTTGGTACCTATATCCCTCCCTTTTAATGTTAGTTTTTCAAAGAGGCACAAATCCCCGAAGATTATGTGCATTTTGGGACCCGGGCATTTATAGAAGCCGTGCTTTTCATGTGCTGGGACTGAGCTACGAGTGACTCATTAGCCAGATGGAGCTATAATTTATTTCTGTCTTCTCAAGTAAGCTAATCCCCTGGACCTAAACTGAATGAATATCCCGTGAAATGCGGTATCTGCACGGGCTGAAACTTGAGATTTAAATGCAAAAAAGGCAAGGGGTGTGTTAGAAAATCCAGGGCAATGTTAACAGGCAGGGTAAGTCAGGTGCGAGCAGTTGTACTGCGCTGAGTTCAGAAATAGCTATTTTTCTGTGGCACGGGCTCTGTTCAGGGAACAAAAGTGCAATTCTTTTGTTAAAGGCAGGATGGGAACAGTGGCAGAGCCTGTGCACGGCCTGGGACAGATGAGGCTTGTTCCCCTTTCTCAGAATGACTAAAGAGATGTTGTGAGTCGTTGAATTTATGGATGAGACCGGAGCGTGTCTGCAAGGGGGGGAGCCTGGCACGGTGCTGGGCTCAGGGGAACGTGACCAGCGGCAGGTTAAGGATCTAATCCGAGTGAAAGGTGGGTATTTAACCAAATACCTTGAAATTCAAAGGTAGCTGAAGTCGCTGTGCCTCTGGTAGGCGGCAGTGAGGGGGTGTGCAGAGCAATTCCTGCCGGGTGTGCCTTGCCTGGGATTGTGGGTTTGAGTGGGAGCTGGAGCAGCCGCCCCGGGGAGTTCTCCAAGGGAGCTGTGGGTGATAAAAGTCCCACTGCAGCACTTGCAAGGAGAAAAATGCCTTTTTTTTTTTTTTTTTGTGAGGATGACTCCTCACAGGAATGGGAGGGATGGTAAAACTAAATTCCGAGGAGCAGTTCAGCTGATATGTGAAGGTACCTAAAGTTAATGTAGCATTTGCTTATTCTGGTTTATTACAATGAGCTTCTTCATCCTTTTTGCGTGGCATAGGATACTTCCCCCCCTATAGATTGCTTCTGTTTTTTTCCTAGGTGGCTTTTTAATGTTGATTTTTAATGATGATGATGATTTTAATGTAACGCGGGAGTGTAAACGGGAATGACAAAACACGTTTAGTAATTGTAGATTTTCAGACAACTGGAAACTGTGTGTGGGCCGAAACACTGCTGATTTGCCCCATGGCGAGGATGCCAAAGACATTTTGGCAAGGTGTGGATGGTGAAGGATGTTGTCTTGTTGTTCTGTATATGAACCAGCAGCAGTGATGCCCTCCTAGAGTGAGTTTTAAATACCTTTGCTGGGCTGAGATGGGAAATAAATGCGTGACCATCATAGCGAGAGCTTTTGTTTGCCATTCCTGGGTGTGCTTAATCAATTCTAATTACATCCCGAGACTTTTATTGGGGTTCAGGGTGTTTGTTTTGGTTGAACCCTGCTTCCACGTGAAAAATTGGATTTGTGTATGGACTTTGGAGATGAACCTGCCTGCCTGTGATCAGTGTTTGGGGTGGGAATGTCCATGTGGCTCATGCTTGGCTTCACCCCGATGAGCAGGAGGAGGGCAGGAGCAGTATCTGACTCTGGTGAGGCTCTGAACCTCATCACTGCAGTGCCGTGCTCTGGATCCAGCAGATGATCCCGTTGCTCCAGTGCAGGGAGGGAAGAGCAGGGTGGGGGGATGGAGGCTCAGCAGAGCTCACCCGGCTCTGAGATCAGACCTCATCTAGCCTGACGTGTGTTCCCCACCCGGACTAGCTGCTGTAATTATGTATTTATGGCTCCTCCTGAAGCAGCTGAAGCTTTTAAATGTGTCCTCTCCTTTCTGGTCTCAGAGCAGCGATTGCTTTCTGCCAAAGTCCTGCGTCCGAGTCTCGAACCTCTTTCCAACACGTGTCGTGCTGAGGTTGTGATTTGACCCAAGCCTCTGGTGTCAGATGCTGGGAAAAGTGTAGGGACCGGCGGCTGCAGGGTGGGATAGTCCCGGCTTTCCAAAGCCGTGGGAGGAGTTTATGGCCAGCTGTGTGCCGGTGTTCCCAGCGAGGCAGAGATGGGCTGTGCTGGGCTCGGCGTGGTTGGCTTATTGTAACTGGTGCAGTGATGTATTGTAATGATCAACTTAATTACACTTGTGAAAAAAGCTGCTTAATTACATATTTACTGTGGGGATTAGCCTTTCCCGTAAGCATTCAATATTGACTTTGGCTGAGACAAATTTCCAAGATCTGCTTCCTTCAAGAGATGACTAATATTAGATCACTTAGTGCAGGGAGCTGGGTTTATCAAGGAGCTGTAATTAATCATTCTGAAAGCCCCAGCTTACTTTTGAGCATCTGTGCTTTTTCTCCCCAAAAGACAAGCTTTGCCTCCCATCCTTCTGAGCCCTTCTGAAACTTTCTGTGCTGGATGTAATTTTAGACCCGAGTCTTTTTAGTCAGCAGAAAATAAATACAAACTGGGAGGAGACTTAATGTCTTAATATTCATCAGAAAACTGATGAATAATTAGTGTATTGAAACGTTATTCTTTTATTTGTATAGCCTAATAGCCAAATTAGAGTTCCCAATCCTTGCTTTTTCTGCTGCTCAATGCACTGTACAAATATATTATCACAGTAACTCTTCTCTGTCCAGAATCTCTTATATATATCAGGATGGGGTGAATATATATATATATATATATATCAGGGGTGAATCAGGAATTCTATTTGCTTAATTAGAGTTTGGATTATGTTTGTTTTGGTTTTTTCCAATGTCTGGTGCTTTTTTTTTTTATTATTTTTTTTTGCTTGGAACAAACAGTCTGAAGAGGATTTGGATTCTTCCTGCAAAAATCCAGATCTGTTCAAAGCAATTAGTTTTGAAAGGGGTGAAAAAAAAAAAAAGTCAGAATGAAGCTAAAAAACCTAACTTGGGGTCAGGACAAACCAGATTTTAACTCTGTGGTTCCTCCTTTAAAAAAAAAAAAGTAGAAAAAATAATTTTTGGGACATAATGTTTTCAGCAAATTATCCTGGTGGTCTGTAAGTGCCCTGGAAGTTATACACGGTTACATGTGGAAAATAAGTAACAGATCTGCCTGCTTTTCCTATAAATGTATGGAATTTTCATGAGTTTGAAGTTGAGTTTTAGACTTCAAAAAACAGGTTTTGAAAATACCCGATTCTAAAATTGAGGGCTCTCTCCTTTCTTCCCCTCATTCCACTTCTGAAGCTGTCATAAATCTGGGAACAAAAGGAGGCTGAAACTTAACTCCCGCTTGCCAAGATAAAGATCTTAATTCATTAGGTTTGATTGATGCAAAAAAAACCCCAAAAACGGTGTTCTGCATGTACTGGTCCTTATTTCACAGCCTCTGAAAGTGCTGTCTCATGGATTTCTGAAATCAAAAGCTTTATGAGGTTCACATGTGGAAGGAAGAATGAGGAAAAAGCAAGGGAAGAGGAGAACTGCCCCCTCTTCCCAGATCAGCAGACTGGCAAATTGCAGTTCTCCCTATCCAGGTGAACAACTTCTGAAGGGAATGGTAAATGACTCCAGAAGTTGTTCCATGGATGGTGTAGTTTGGTGATTTTATTAAAGCCACTTTAGGGCTACTCTATAACAATGAGAAATCTTCTTTTGTTATCATAATCACTGCAGGAAATGATATCGAGGGAAAACCTGCTCAAAACCTAATTTTTTTTTTCTTTTTTCTTTTCTTTCCCCCTCTAGGTTTTTTTTTTTGTTTGTTTTTTTAAAGGAATTATAGCTAAGAAAAAGCACAATGGAGTTTTACGAGTCCACCTACTTTATCATCCTCATCCCTAGCGTGGTCATTACAGTCATCTTCCTCTTCTTCTATCTTTTCATGAAAGAGACTTTATACGATGAGGTCCTGGCCAAACAGAAAAGGGACCTGAAGTTCCAACCCACCAAGGCCGACAAAAAGAAAACCGAGAAGAAGAAGAACAAGAAGAAAGAAGCCCAGAACGGCAACATCCACGAGTCCGACTCTGAGAGCGCCCCTCGGGACTTTAAGCTGTCTGATGCCCTGGGCACGGAGGAGGAGCAGGTGCCCCCCGTTCCCTCAGGCACGGCCGAGGCGCCCGCCGGCGTCCGGGAACGGAAGAAGAAGGAGAAGAAGCACAAGGCCGGTCAGGATGATCACGTAACTAAGGACTCGGAAGGATCCAAGTCTTCAGGCAAGAAAGTAGATCCAGTCCCTGTTACAAAACAGCCCACTCCACCATCCGAACCAACAGCAGCTAAGAAGAAGCCTGGGCAGAAGAAGCAGAAAAATGGAATGGGTATCTGACGTTGCATATGCTTCTTGCACAGAACGCCAAAAAAAACCGTGTTCTGCTTTTTTGCAAGGCCACAGAGTTGTCTCTCACAAACTGTTCTGCCTGATCTCTCCAGGGCAAAGCCCTCCTCTAACCTTTTCCTTTTATTTTTTTTTTTTTTTTAACAAGCTATTGCTTTTTTTCCCCCCCCCTGGTTTTCATCTGGCAGCAGTGCTCTGGTTTTTCCTCCTCCCCTCCTTGCTTTCTTCTACTGAAGATGAAGCGAAACAGAGTAGCTCGTATCTCTGCTTCGCTCTGTGGTTTGGCTGCTTTGCTCTCAAGCTGTCAAAACTTTAATTACCTGAAAGAACTTACTAGATGTTTGCTGTGTGCATTCTGAGGTCAAGCTCTGGAAAAAAAAAAAAAGAGTCCTAAGAATGGTTGCTCTGATAAGGGAGGGCCTCTAGAGAATCCTCATAGCAGACTGCAAAATAAATCATTGTTCAAGTGCAGGCTTAATGTGCAGAGAGGTGTGTGTGGTGGCTGATTCATGGAAAGAAGCACTTTGAGCTGCTTCCCACCTGCTACACCTCTATAATTGAATGGAACTGATGCTAAAACTGGGTCTGGCTGTTGTAACTGAAATACCCAACACAGAACAGACCGAAAACTGCTCAGAATCATTTCTGTCTTGACCGTATCCTCAGCAGCTGCCAGGTCTCAGTGTGGTTGTCTGACTATGAATAGAAGCGAAAAAAAGAATAAAAATACCCAGTTCCAGAAATAAGTGAAACCCGAGGTATTTGCAGATCCCCTTTTTGAGGTGCAGGCACGGCAGGTTTGCACAGGGAGCGAGGAAAAAGAGCCACGTTGCTGCTTGATGCGGTAGATTTTGATTTTTTTTTTTTTTTTTTTTTTTAATTCTTTTTCTGAAAAAATGGAGAGAAAAAGTCCCACCCACCACCAACAGAAGAAGCATCGAATCTTGTTTGTGGGTGTTCTCCAAAAATCTCTGTGGCCCAGTTAAATTGTGGTCTGCAGGCACAGCTCTGAGGGCAGCCACAACTAAGTCTTAGCCTTGATTACAGGAGCTGACACCAGAGCCCTGCACTGTGCGAGTCAGCCCTGACGAGAATCTTAATATAGCCCAGGCTGTCCAAAATGATAAAAAAAAAAAAATCTCTCACTTAGAAACTGCTTTTCAAAAGAACAGTTCCCTAATGGGAAACTCTGTATTTTCTGCTTCTCAACAGTCCCAGTAGCTATTGGGGGTGTATGTTTTAAAGTGCCCCAGTGGGTTCATGGAGGGGGAAAAGTAAACTTCTAAAGGAGAAACTAATGTGGGTAACCCGTGCTGTCTGCTCTGTCGCAGTAAAATCTGCACTGGATTTGTTAAACTGTTCCTTGCATTGCTGTGTGTTCTGCTTGCAGATGAGATTCCTGTCTGTAAAATCAGTAGGTGCTGTGGCTCTTCACTCTGCTAAACTGTCCTATGGCTTGGGGGTCTCTCCTGATTTGGGAATTGTCTCTGTGTGTGTGTGTGTATGTTGATAACCTCGTGTTCTGATTTAAAATGTGTGAGGTTGTTTTCCTGGGAGTGGACTTGGGTTATTACAGATTTACTGATTTAAAAAATAATGCCGAGAATGTACAGAAGAGCGTATTGTCTTAATTGTCTCTTGCAGATGATCAAGATAGTAAGGCTGATTCTGTTGTGCCTCCTGCCAAAAAGCAAGAACCTGTGCTGCTCCACCAGGAGATAAAGCAAGAAAATGTGTCGGGGAAGAAGAAAGTCTCTGCAAAGAAGCAGAAAGTTGATAATGGTGAGAATACAGGCTTTGATTTAATTCAGATAAACCCGACTGTTAAAACCTTTTTGCCATCCATACTTTAGTTTCTCTTCCTTTGGAAAATAAACTTGTGGAATAGTAAGTTTTAATTTGAAAAAAACAGGAATTCCGGGTAGGAAAGGTTGCTGAGCCTGAGATATTATTTAATTTTATCAGCATCTCATGCCACTGAGCAGTGGACAATGTTGTGAACCCCTCTGAGCTCTCTTGGCTCCCAACATCCACGCTTGAATGAGGACTAATGTGGAGACTTATACTCTAAGCTGAGCAGGCTCTTAAGTTGCTCTAAGCAAGGCATGTCTGGAACTGCTGCAATCATCTGCCCTGAACAAGATTGCAGTTTTTTTAGCCGCTTGCTTTGACCACATTCCTCTCTTATTGTCCTTTTGTTGGCTGGCTGGTGCTCCAACACAAACTGTTCGTCTTTGCTGTCAAGGCCTTCAGTGTTCGTCATCCCTCGTTCTCTGCCAAGATGCTGTTTCTTGTCTCCTCTTGGCTCAGTGTGTCTCTGTGTTTGTGGCTTTTTTCCTTTTTTTTTTTGATTTTTTTTTTTAAAGTTTTACAATGAGTGCTGTTGTGTCTGTGGCTTTTGGACGGAGTGTGACTACGAAGTTCTGTGAGGCCACCTTGTTAGCTTCAGGACTCTTCTCTGCTGGGACAGCCAGGAAGTTGGAGGCTGCTGAGCTGCTCCTGGAGTTGCTCCCTTGCGTCCTTCATACTTTGGTCGTGTCATCAGGGGTCCAGATCAGTTTTGGGGCCCTGGTCAGACCAGGGTGGGGTTCCAAGCAGTGTAGGGTTTCTATATAACTGAAAAACTTCCAAGTGATTCCTGGAAGAAGCCTACTGATGGGGAACCTAGGATGTGATTCATTTATGGATGTTCTTGTGCTTTTCCCGATGGAAATGAGTGCATTGCCCTTTTTTTATATATATTTTTTTTAAGGGACCATAAACTTGTCTGTACATGGCAAAGAAGTGTCAGTGCCAGCTCAGGCAGCAGTAAAGCTGAGCTGTCAGTGCTACAGGGGAACAGCTCATGCATAATTTGAACACCAGCTGTTTTCTTTTAACGCCACCTCTCCAAAATGACAGAGCAAAAATGAGCTGTGGTGGGCACCAGGGTCGGCCAAGGCAGCACTGTGGGGATTTCAGGTGTTACTGGCACTGCAAAATGTCTCATTAAAGAGGTTTTGAAAGGAGGGGAAGTTAGTAGGGAGAGGAAGGCAAAATGTGAGGATGGTAACCAGATTAGATGGTGGATATTTCTACTAGAGGAGAGCTCTCCTCACTTCTGAGCTTGCAGTGTACCTGCAGGTGTTTGCTGGCTGCTTGAGTGCAAAGACTAGCAGGTGGCACAAAAAGGTCCATCTGGCCTATTCTGCTCCTTAACAGCAGCCAGGGCTCAGAAATGTTTTATAACTGGCTCTCTGGGAGCCAAGAATGTGTTATTTGTTTTGCACCGATGCCCCAAACCCCACGTCCCACCCAGTTCCTCCTCTCCCTGTGCCGCTATGTGGCATCTGCTGTCCATCAGCCCTGCAGGCTGGGCTGGCTGGGTCAGTGGGCTCTCCCGCTGGGACGTGGCTGTGTGCACAACCTCTTGGACACTGCAGGCAGGGTGGCTCAGGAGCTGGGCAAGCAGAACATCCAGCTCTGCCTGTGTCTGCTGTCCCTGGTCTGTCGCTCTTCCTCTCCCTTTTGTCTCGGCTGGAGAGTTCTTTGGGCAGAGGCTGCTGCTTACCCAGTTCTGTGTGAGTGGAGACCCGGGGTCAGGCAGTACCTCTGGGAACCTCTCTGCATGTTAATGGTGCCTGAAGCCTGCTCTGACAGCTGAGATATCTTCATTAGGAGCAGTTGAGCCCGCACGCAAAATAAGCCTGATTGCTGTCCCTGCTGCACGTCCTGCCTAAGTGCTTGAGTTCACAGGTGATGTAATCCATGTGAAAATGCTGGCAGTGAAGTACCAGCTCTTAACAGAACAGGGACAAAGGACTTTGCTCGTACTTTAGGGATGCTGAATGATTTCATACACAGCCACAAGTGAACCGGTCTCACTGAGGCTTTGTGCAACTTCCTCATTAAAGTGAAATGAAAGTCAAAATGTAAGGGTTCTTCTCTGTTACTTGTTAAAATGCTAAAAGACAGCTTTGGAAGTAGAAATTTAATTGAAGCTATTAAATTACTATGCATTAGAGACCTTTATTTAATGGACTTACCTGAAGAGCTTTAATGAGTTAAGCTGTGAAGGATAACAGAAATGGAGAGTATAACTAACTATTGAGGTTAGAGATGCTTTAATCCAATTCTAATATGTTATACACCTTTTCTACAAACGTTGATGTTAATTATTACAAAGCTTTAACCCACTCTGTGGACTTCTGGTTACAGTTTTGGTGGATGAACCTCTTATTCAACCAACTACTTATATTCCTTTGATGGACAATTCTGACTCTGGCACTTTGGAAAAGCGAGAAGCGGTTGAAGTAGTAAAACACAACGTGAATGAGGGAATCCAGAAGAGCAGTGGCAAGAAACTGAAGAATGAAACAGATAAAGGTAAGAAACTGATAACTCAGGCATAGCCTGCTTGCAAACCTGAGCAGGGAAAATGTGTGGGGAGGGGGAATCCTGTCTTACGTGCTGGGAAGAAGGGATTTGAGGAAAAACATTTGTGGCTGCAGGATGCTCTCCTTGTGTGTGCTCGTTTTCTCCCTCGTCTTTGGCACTGTGGAAAGGGCTTCGTGCCATCTGAATCCTTTCAGCTCTGACTGGGCTTTTGTGTCCCCACAGTGAGCAAATGGGTGATCACAGACCACACAGATGCAGGGGAGAGAGTTTTACAGTGGATAGTTCAGGCATTGCTAACAGGGATGGACTCTAACCCAGAGCTTTCAGCACAGGCTGTTGAGTCTGTGAGGCTGGGAGTGCAGCCTGTGTTCTCTGGGGATGCTCACGGACCTCTCTGGGACTGACCCAGTGCAACACAGTTACCTGAAGCAGATTGCCAGTGGAGATAGTCTGGCACTTTCCAGCAAGACTCAGATTTTTCCATTCGGTGCGGTTGGAATTGATTGGGACGGGGGAACTTCCCTCATACTCTCCCACAGATGCCTGAAGTGATTAATGAGCTTTGTGTCCCACCCCTGAAGCTGTAAACAGGCCACTGATCTGCTCAAAGCCTGCCAAACTTACTGAGCCATGAGATGAGACCCTCAAATTTGTGGGCAGCCAGGGAGAAGCCAAGTGACCGAGCAATGATTCCCTGCTCGTGTTTGTGTAGGAAGCTGGTTCTCCAAGGTTGCTGCCTGGTCACTCCCTGCACTCTTTGGAACCCCTCTTTTTTTAGACTTGTCTTCCAAAATGCTCCCTTGAAAACCTCCTGGTGACGCTCTGTGATATCTGGGTTGGATTCCAGCATGCCTGAGGCTCCTCTTGTGCTTCTGCCTCCGTTGTCTGCATGTTGCTGTCCTGCAGCATCAAAGCCTGCTGTGTGCACCCGTCCCTTCTCATTTCCTTTGCAGGCTGTGACCTTCTCGCTGAACTCCTAATTCTCCTGTGTCAGCTGGGATTTGCCATCCCGATATAGAAATCTTCCCCTATTCTAATTGTAAGCTCCTTGGATGTGCAAGGGCAAGGTCTTCCCGTCTTCAGGGAGCACAGGGCTCGGGCTGGTCCTGGCCAAGCTGCTACAGACTCCCAGCTAACCGGGCTTGTGGTCTCAGGATCTTGGCATATTCCTGGTAACAGCATCACTGCTGATGTCAGTGCAGCAGGGACGGGAGCTGCAGTCACTGGCCACGACTAAGTTGGATTTAGGACTAGGGCAGAGTGTGCTAGAATTTCTCAGTGCTTCCCTCCCCGTGCTCTGTTATTCAGTGATTTGGTTTTATACTTGATAATTTCTTGGTGTCGCTGCTGCTTTTTTTGTTCTTCCTTTATATTTCAGGCTCTGGAGACGTTTAGGTTTGATGTGTAGCTTGGTTTCAGTGGCATGTTTAGCACCTGTGGTGAGAAAGCTGGACCCTTCTCCATGATCTTTGGGACAGTTTGTGAACCAAGCATTACTGTTGTTTTTGTTCCTCCCATCCCTTCAAATACTGTGGTGCACTGGTGAATATTTGTTGGGGATATGGGATGCCTTGGTCTTGTGTTTCCATTTCCTGGAGTCAGGGGGCCACCTAATGACCTACCTACGTGCAGCCTGTTTTTGGAGTGCTGTTTTTTGTTTGTCAGAGCATAGTTCAGTTTGAATTGCTGTTCCTTGTTTGTGTCTTTTAAACACTTAGTCAGCCATTAGGAGGGATCTTACTGATTTATCTTCCTACTGCTGAATTGCTTCTGCAGCAGTTCCCTCGGTCTAAGTTTGGAAGTTAATATTTTTGTCTTTCATATAATGTAATCAAAAAAAGGGCCAGCTTTTAAATTAATTAACTTGTCATGTGCTCATTCAGCCAGCCTGTCCTTTAAATTGAGAGCTCAGCTTCAATTACTGTCAAAATACACTGGAAGGGACTCTTCAATTTTTCACATTTATGCTATTTATTTTTTTTTTTTCCTCCAAAATCTGTGTTTTGCTTTTTCCTCTCGCTAGCGACACTATAAACGTTACCAACTGTCCAAACAAAGTGGTGGGATTTTCTTTTTTTCCCGAAACTATCAGCTGGCAGATTGTTATCAGATTGAAATTGGCGAGATGTTGCTTTCGCTGAGCGCTCGTGACCTCTTGCTTCTTGGCATTTCAGGCTGGAATTAAATGTGATGCATAATGATACCCCATCACGTGCCGTTTTCGAGGCAAAATAAATAATTCTGTGCGGGGTCCAAAGTAAATAAACCCTCCCCTCTGTGTCGCAGAGAATGCTGAAGTAAAATTTAAAGACTTCGTGACGTCCATGAAGAACATGATCTTCACCGAGGACGAGGCCCGTTGCGTGGTGGAGGTGCTGAAGGAAAAATCCGGTGCAATCCACGACTTCTTGCAAAAGGTGAATTACTGGGGGTGGGGTGGGGTGGGGACAGAACTTGTCAAACAGAGAAATTAGAAGAGGTGCTGTCAAACCAACTGCTGTCCGTGTTCTGTTGTGAGTTGTGCGTTCCTCTTCCCAGCTGGTCTGTGCTTGCTCTGCATGCAGAAAGCAGCTGTGAGATGCCTGTGTGCTGCCATCTGCCATCCCAGGGGCTGGCGAGGCAGGCTGAGGGCTCTGACCCTTGTAAAGAGCAGACATGGCCGTGGAGAATAAGGAATACAGCAGGAATGTTGCTGCTGCTGACACAGGGAAGGGCTGTCTAGTGGCTTTCAGGAGCTGATCTTTCCCAACTGTGTAAGTAGGATAAGCCATAGCAGAAATGAGGAGAAAGCTGATGGGGCTGATAGCTGATTCTGTGTTTTGCAGGTCTCTTCATCTCAAGTTTATACATTGTAGTTGGACTTCTTTGGATGTTTTTCATAGGATTGTAGGGCAGTTCCTACTTGGAAGGGACCTGAGGGGTTTGTAGTCTGACCTCCTACTCAGAGGAGGACCAGCTCTGAGGTCAGCCTGCTCAGGGCTTGATCCAGTCTGGTTGAAGCCCTCAGAGGCTGAGACTGCAAAATCCCCCCCTGTGCCAGCTCAGTAGTTATTTTTAATTCTTGTATTCCAGACAGAAGAGAATGGTGACCACCAGTACCTTACAAATACCTGCTCCTCCCTCCCGTGTCTCAGCACGACTGTGCTCGTAACATCCCGGTTGTCACACTTGAAATCGTGCAATCCTGAATTTTTCTGCTGATGTACCAAAAGAGGAATGCAGAACCAGATGTGTCAATTCAGTTAATGCAATTCAGGTTTGCAGGGACTTCAGAAGTAATACAGTCTGCCTGCTCAGAACAGGTCCAACATCAGATTCGGGGCAAGTTGCTCAGGGATTTGTCCAGTTGGGTCTTAAAAACCTCCAAGGACAAAACCCAATGAAGGTACACCCGGAATGGTGTTGCCTGTTCTAGCAACCAATCTGTTTGCTGTATTATTTTTCCTCTTAAAGGAAGGTTTGGTGTTAAAGCTAAACCTTAAGGATCAAAATGAGTTCCTGGGTTTGTGTGCAACCAAAAAATGTGGGTCCCTACAGGGGGAGGTGTAAATAGTTTTCTCTCTGTAGCTCATGGAAGTCACAGACAGGGTGTTTTGTACTGTATGCAGGCACAACACCACTAAAACTGACCTTCCAAATTCAGAGTGCATTTATGGGACTGCCACTTCTTTGCCTCTTTAGTGATCAGACTTTGTTGAGTGAAGTCTGAGTAGTTCAACCTGCTGCTCGAAGCAGGACCTGCTCTGAGGTCAGCCCAGGCTGCTCAGGGCTTTATCCAGGCTCGAAACCTTCAAGGACTGAGAGTGCACAACCCCTCTGGGCAACCATCAGACTTCAGTGAGTGGAATCTGAGCACAGACACATAGAAATTGTGCCCATCACTGCAGCTATTTCAGTTTTTAGGAGCAGTTTACAAGCGGTGGGACCATGGGGATTGTTCCTCCAGGTCCATTCCCCGCAGTATCTGTGTCAGTGTGCCAGCACAAGTGTAATTAGCTGCAGCCTCTCCTGGGAAGTGGAAGGAGACACCAGATCAGTGTTTCCTTTTCCCTTTGTGGTAAGATATTTCGAGAGATTAGATTTGTTAGATTATACCTGCTTTGAGCGTGGGCTGGACCAGGTGAATCTTGCAAGTCCCTTCCAACCTCAATTATTGAATGATTCAGCATCTCTGTGCCTCTTCCCATTATTTCTCTTAATGGCTGTTCCTTGTTTTCCCCACTACCTCACAGCAGCTCTCTTCCAAGGGCCTTAAGAACCCATTTATTCCCTTAATTGGTTTCTGTGTGCTTGCAAATGCATTTCCCTGTCTGATGGAGTGGGTGCTGCAGGATCCCAGGATCCATTAGCGACCGGATTGGGCACTGGTGGTGCCACCGGTGCCGTGCAGATGGAGGATTTGGGAGCAGGAGGGGAGTGTTTTCCTCCTCTCAGTTTTGCTCTGCTGCCAGTACCTGTGGCACGTGTGGTCATTTTTTATGCCCTCCTGCTGCAGGCCAGCAAGGCTGAGTCGGCTGCAGCTCTCCATCAGCTCCAGGACAAAGAGAAGATGCTCAATGCCATGAAGGAGGAGGCAGCTGTTGCAAAGGAGCAGTGCAAGCAGCTCTCCCAGGTAAATATGAAGAGTTTCATGTGTGTAGAGAGGAACAGAGGCTTGTAGCAAATGCTGGCTTACTGAGCTTAGCCTAAGTTGAAAGGTGGAATTTTTATGCAGAGAAAGCTGCCAAGATGCTACGTTTGGTTTTATGATATTATAATGTATTTATTTCCCAGTAGTTTTACCAGAGAGTTCATTTACTGAGACTTTCAAGCTGAGCCTATTTTTGTTTTCAAATGGGTACTTGAAAAAACTCTTCCTTCACGAGCGTGAGTCTGTTTTGTGGATGCAAATATTAAATGTCTTTCCTGCACTGCTGTTTTAATTTGGGCCATATTCTAGCGTTCACATGCTCGTGTGTGCTCCTAGGCACAACAATCACGAGTTTCCTGCAAGAAGGAAGGTACAGAAAGTGTAGACTGCCTGCTTTAGCCCCTGCAGGTGCAGCTCTGATTGCTTTGGACTTATAGGGATGCTGATGCATCGCTGTCGAGACTAGTTTATGAAAAGCAGCTTTTTTGTGATGGTTTCAGGGGAAAGCAGTTGCAGGAGAGCAAATTATTGGGCAGATGTGGACTGAACTGGGGAGTTTTGGGATGAGGGTTGTGATGTTCTGGCTGGTTTGGAAGCATGCAGGTTTTAGGCTTGGGAAAGTCGTGTTGTGGGACAAAACTCGGGCACAGAAATCTGGGTGGCTAAAGGTGGGAGCACAGTGGCCACAGGACGTGGGAGTTGGGAGCTTTGGGAGATGGGAGGGGGAGAAGGGAGTGGGTATTGTGTTGGCTCCTGGCAAGGAGTGGTGTGTATTTGTTGGTGGGATCAAGAGGTTTGGGATAGTCAGTGTGTAATCGCAGGGAGGGAGAGTTTGTGATGTGTTTGGAGGCAAAAAAAAAAACAAACAAACTGGCTCAGGAGTGCAGAATCAAAGGGGAGAGGTATCTGCTGCTGAAGAAGCAGAGGGAATGGATGAAGGAGCCTGGGTGTGGGAAAAGCTGATGTGGCTGGGGAAAAAACAGCTGCAACGTGATGCTGGTGAGGGTAAGGTGGGAGCTGCAGAGAAGGAGGGGTCATCAGGGGGTTTTCCCATGTGGACCGGGGAAGGGAGAAGCTGGGAGAAAATGGGTGAAAGGAAAGTTGCTGCAGTGCTGAAGTATCAGGATGAAAAAGGGATAAAGCTCAACTTGACTGATAAAAGCTCTTACCTTCTAAATTCATGTGTTTCTCTGGAAACGCTGTCGAAGAGTAAAGGGAGACTTTAAGGTGCAGGGATGTTCCTGCAGGGGTGTTGATACAGATGATAACTGGGGAGGATAAATGGGAGCAAGAGGGTGCCTGACCTCGGAGGTATTTGGCAAAACACAAAGTAGGTGAAAGTTAATCTTCCCAGGATCTCTGGTGCTGCCCTGACGTGTAGCTGGGTTAGTGAGGGCTGCAGCTGGATGGTGGGGTGGCTCGGTGCCCTTCTTTTAGTTGCATCGTAGCAGATCAAGAGATAAGATGGAAAAAAAGATTTTACATGGAAAAAAGGTTTGTCATAGGTGACTTAAGACTTTTTTTAATGTGATTTAAATTCCTAAATGCCGCCGTGAACATGGGCTTAGGAACTCGTGTCACTTGTTTCATTCAGGGGGCACAGTTAGTGAGTTGGATCCAAGGGAGAAGAGAATAGCCTTTATTTAAATTCAAAATGTGGGAAAAGCTGTAATTACCCTGAAGAGGTGGTGGGTATTCAGGCTAATAATTTAGAGCACTTAAATTACGTGTCAGTGCTCCCTGGCGCAGTGAGGAGCTGTGTAAGGAGCTGGGCTGTGTGGCTGGAGACACCTGAAGCTCGGATGGTACGAATTCCTTGTGTGGTGGGAGCTGGTGAAAGCTGCGCTTAATGTTTTTTTGCTCACTAAAAACAAGTGCATTTATGCTGCAGAGGAGCAGCTCTATGGATTTCTCAGGTGTCTGGGTCAAGTTACTGACTAATAAATGATTAAACAGCAATGTGTATTTTCACTTCAAAGCTATAATCTGGTGTCATGCTGGTGGGATTCAGGGCTTCTCTGGCTTTTGCAGAGCACTGATAGCCCATCTCCCACAAAGCTGTTGGCTTTGCAACCTGCCACAAAGCAATTATTCTGCTCTGAATTGCTCTGTTTGGCCATGATGCTTTACCTGTGTTCTTCCATTTTGCTGAATTTGGGATGAAAATCCGAGCTCTGCCCTCTGTGCAATCCACGGGTTTAGCTGTTAGGCCTCTGTGATTGGGCAAAACGGTGGAAATAGGACTCTGTCTTTTCTGAGACAACAGAAGATCAGTGTTTAAATTGGCAAACTTTTTAATTAATGTGAGATTGCGCTGATCCTAAATATTCATAAAGATGCTGAAAACTTGGTTGGGTTTAATGCTGTAATTTCTCTTGAGTGAAGAGCGATGCCGACTTTGGCTTGATGCACACTTGCTGTATTTTTACTTACCTTAAAACACTGATTATTAGCCTTTAGAAAGGAGCAGTAGATGACTTCTTTCCCTTTTCCCCTGTCCCTTCCCACCCAAGGAGCTGGTTGCAGAGAAGGAGAGGAACGGTTTGCTCACGGCGAAAATGCGAGAGCGCATCAACACTCTGGAAAAGGAGCACAACACTTTCCAGAGCAAAATACACGTGAGCTACCAAGAATCTCAGCAGATGAAGATCAAGGTAAGTGCTTTACCAAAACTGCTGGAGTTGTTCGTGCACAAGCAGATCGGTGCTGAGATATTGCTGCCTCAGCCAGGGTGCAAAACTTTGTGGCGGTTTCCTGACTTAAAGACAGGGTGTTCTCACGGGTGACTTTGGTGGTCTGTAAAATGCTATCCAGGCAGCCAGTCTCTGATTTGGTTACTTTTCCTTCGTGGTGCTCTGCTGAAATGTTATTCAATTAAAGTGTAAAATCTAATTGAAATACTCGGCTTAAGAGAACCACTAATGCTGATGATCATTTACCAGCGGATAAATCTCTTTAAAATTATACTGTAGAGTGACAACATAGCATAATATACATGAAGTACCAATGCCTGGGGGAGTGCTCTGATGAAAATATTTGAAGAGCAGACACTTGTAATTTTTCTAAGACCCTTGTTACTGTCTACTGTGGTTACCTTATAATGGAGTGACCTTATAATGAAGGGTTCGTTTCATCAGATTAAAAAGTTTGACTTAGAGTTTTCAAAGAAGAATGGCCCTTTTTATACCAACTTGCCTGCTTAGATTTCATTCTAGTACTTCTTTCCTGTGTGAATGTCACAGCATCAAGCCCAGCACATGAAGTTCCCAGCTTTAATGCTGTACCTTCTGTCTCAGCACTTTAAAGAGTAGCATCTCTGCACTTTTGGAGCACAACTGTGTTCTCCTGAGCAGAGGCAACTTCCTTGGAAACTCTATAGACAACTGGATAATGAAAGGGTCTTGCTGCTGGCTGGGGAGGGGGAGAGAGATTTGGGCTCGACTGGGAGGCCTTTGCAGACTCTGCTGGCCCAGGCAGAGCTGGAGAAAGGATGAGCAGAGTGCTCTGGTCCTGCTCCCTCTGCTGATGTGCTGCAGCATGACAGAGAACCTGGAGATAGTCACAGCTTCCCGTTCTGTGAGGTTTGTGCCCCTGATTCTGCTGGGATTCTTGTTTGCATTAAAAAAAAAAAAAATACATAGGGAGGGAAAAGAACCTCCCTCAGTCAACATCCAAGGCCCAGCTTGTTGTATTTGTTGGTTCAGAGCTGGAGGTGGATGCCCTGCAGGGGACTGCTGTGGCTGGTACACAAAATTTATTTGGATTTTTTTTTTTATATATATATAAAACCCTCATTGATGAGTCAGATATTTGATGAAACTGGGTCTTGGAATGGTGTCAGCCACATGTACAGACTGGCACTGGTAGAGGAAGAAAGTGTTGGAGCTGTATGTGCTGGAGGATTTTCAGAGCGAGACCAGCTCTGCTGTTCTCTGCATATGCAGAGTCCGTTTTTTCCCTTTGAATCCTGTGTTTTGATTTTTGTTGGCACTGCTCTGAACCTTGGGTTGTCAAAGCTCCTTTCTACCTCAGTTTGGAACCACCTTGAAAATGCAATCAGCATATATTACTGCGTAAACTAAAGATCTATTTCATAATTTTGACTTCAGGATATTAGATGAGGACTAGCCTTTTGTAGTTTGCATTTTATAACCCATGTATTGTTAGCTATTTTATACTTTTTATGCTTTGCTTAAGGGCTTTCTAAGCCTCTAGTGATAATTCACAGCATGTTTATTTCCCTTTGGAAAAGTTATATATAAATATCTGAAGTTATACAGCTGAGCAGTCATTATTCTGAGTATCACTTATGTAGCCTTTTTTTAAACAATAAAAAGGTTGCTTTGGTAAATAGATGGTTACACTGATATGAAAGGAAATTTGAGCATGAGGGTCTGAGTAGCACAGTTTAATTTAAGACTTGGTGTGTGAGGAAGCAGTAAAGCTGCTCTTCTCCCGAAAAATCCCCTTAATTTTGTTCCCTGAAACTATTGTGATATCCACTGCTACAAACTGCTGGGGTGTTTTTTATTGCTCCTCAGTCTGATCTTTTCTGGAATTGATCTTTCTCTCCCCATCAGTTCCAGCAGCTCCGTGAGCAGATGGAGGCAGAAATCAGCCACCTGAAGCAGGAAAACGGGATCCTGAGAGATGCTGTCAGCACTTCCACCAACCAAATGGAGAGCAAGTATGTGAGCAGCTTCTCAGAGCTCTGCGTGTTTAAGCCTTCCCTGAAGAGTTGTTCTGGCTTCTGCTTCTTTTGTTTCCATCTCCTTGGCTGTCTCTGAATTAGTGGTTAAGCTGGGAGCACACATTTTGGGCTGGGCTGGTTGTGCTTGCGTTGAGCCGAGGCTTTCACAACAGGCAGTTTATTTTATCAACCTGAAGCCTGAGCTTTTATGAGGCTTTAGCAGAAAGAAGTGCAGCAGTGCTGAGGCGCAGTTGGTGTTTTTGGCGGGGGGTGTGTGTGTCCTTTCCCCTGGGGCTTTAGGAGAGGTGCTGATTCTGGGAGCACAATCAGCACCTGGTATCATTATTTCATATATTATCAGTGATATCATTAATTACAGTATTGATACCCTGCAGTTAATGACACCACTGGGGTGGCACTCGGATTTATCTGCTGGTGGTGCAAACGTTTGGAGAAACAAAAAGGCCATCTCAAGGTTTTGCCTTTTGTGAGTTATGACTCAAAATGCCCCTGAGCTGGCAGAGAGGACTGCGTGTGTGTTTGGGCTAAAAGCTGAGTACCCTGGCAAGGTGTACAGAAAACAAAGCTGACACATTATATGCTCTCAGGTATTTGATTTGTTACTGTTGGAGACCAGATTGTCAGAACCACTGTCAGGACTTGTAAAGGGCTCCATATTTACTCTTTCTGGCTATGCTGCTGTTTCAGTGTGTTCCTTTCTGTTAACAGCTCCTGCGCTGCCTGGAGCAGCTCAGCAGAGATGTGTTCTGAGCAGGTCGATATAACAAGTGCTCACAGAGAAGGGTGTGGTACCCTGATGTTAGGTGTCCTGTTTATTTAAATGAAGCATCTTTATCTCTTAGACAGTTGTATTGAAAAAGCCTTAAACAAGCAAACTTAAGATAAAAATAAAATGCTTTTTCATTTGCTTAGACAGAATGGGGAACCTTTTAAAATCCTTCCCTTGGGCTGTACAAACACATCTTCTCTCCCTGCGTGAGTGAGTGCCTCAGACACCTTCAAAAGTTAACAGTCAGGTCAAGGCTGGGAGGCAACAAATAGTCTGAAGGAATGTGTGCAGTTAGTAGTCCAGGAGGAATAGTCTGGAGCAAGTCTGAGATCAATAATCCTTTATGGGAAGGGGAAAGGAATGTGAATTTCTATGCAAGACCTTTCCTTAACGCTGAGCCTCTTCAGTTTGGATCAGCCTGCCCAAAGCATGCCAATCAGCTTGCAAACCTTTCAAAGGGAACTGATGCTTGTGGCTTTTATTGCTGACCTTTTGTTTCTGACTCTGCCTTGTAGCTTATTGTGCTGTGCCAATGGCCTGGGAGCACCTGACCCTCATCCCTTCCCTGGAATAAAACAGTTCAGGGGGGAAAAACAACCCTGAACCCACCCAGTACAGCCCTTTAGCTGCAAATGCAGGACTCTGTGTTGATATCTGAGTAGCTGCTGTTATGGCCTGTGCTTCTTGTGGAGGGGGGAAAAATAAAAACAAAACCCTGTGAAAATGTTTGTTTGTTTTCAGGCAGTCGGCCGAGCTGAACAAGCTGCGCCAGGACTACGCGAGGCTGATGAACGAGCTGGGGGAGAAGAGCAGCAAGTTGCAGCAAGAGGAGCTCCAGAAGAAGAATGCAGAGCAGGCAGTGGCTCAGCTAAAGGTGACTGGGGTTCTCTCTGCCCGTCAGGTTGTGCTCAAGGCTCCACTAAGCGAGTCCTCAATCAGTGGGACGTGTGAAGCCCGTGGGAGTTGCTTTAGCCGGTCCCGTTTCAGATGGGCTGAGCCGGCCTGGGGGTTTGTTTAATGTTTTTATTCAGTACAATGGGCTGTGAGTGATTACAGACCTCCCTGTGAAGTGAAACTTAACCTTCTGGGTAAATATCTTTTAAAAAGCTAAACTGGAGACGTTGAACTTTGTACGATTCCAGCAGGATTTGATATTTCAGAGTCATTCAGCCAGACTGCATTGTCCTTGTGTGATTTTATTTGAAGCCACGTGTATGTTTAAATTTTTAAGTAAATATACTTTTTGAAGAGTTAAAATGTAAGTGGGCTGGGTTCTGGATGCATCTCTTTTCTTTGGAAGAAAAGGTCTTTGGTATTTTTTTTTTCCAGAAGAGAAACCAGTGTTTTCAGGTGACAGTGCCAATCCAGAGCTCATAACTTCTTCTTTAATATTTGTAATTAAGTCTTACATACCAGAAGCTCTCCCTGCCTTTTGCCCTGGCAGGTGGAGAGTTGGTATGAAAAGTTGAGATGTGTTTTAATTGCTGGATGCAGATTTATGTGATGCGCGGGCTGCTCTGGCTTCTGGTGTTTAATTCTGAACTATCAGGGCAAAGATGCTGCATTTTCATATTACAGAAACCATTCTGTTGAGAGCCTGTAATGAAATCCTGTTCACAATTTGCCTTTCAAATTAATAGGCTAAACTAGTCTAGGAGGAGGATTACGGAGCACTCTGTCTCTCTGATGTGCCCTAATGGAAACAAGAACCAATTTCACTTCATTGCCATATGTTTTGGGAATGGCACTGAGGGGATGCACTCTGAGTGTTTCAAAACTAAATTAAAGGTTAGACTTCTTTACATCAGCTCTCTTTTTAATGTGAAGGTCCAGCAGCAGGAAGCAGAGAGAAGATGGGAAGAAATCCAGGCTTACCTCAGGAAAAGAACGGCAGAACACGAAGCAGCACAACAAGGCATGTACCACGGAATTCCTAAATGATGCTTGCTGCAGCGAATTTGCTGTTGTGATTTTTTAAAAAAAGAGGGCATTACTGAGTAAATGGCTTAAATAAAGCTGAGGTGAAGTTGGTATTGCTGGGGGAAATAGCGTGTTGTGATCCCAGTAAGTCGGAGCGCTGATGAGGGAGCTGAACCTTGGCTTGCTGGGACAAGGCTTCTCATCAGCCTCCCTCTTTCTCTTAGTGAAAATGATTTCCCCAAAAGTTTAAATGTTGACTCCTGAATTAAAACCCTGACGTTTCTGCTGCAGATGTGCAGAATAAGCTTGTGGCCAAAGACAATGAAATCCAGAGCTTGCACAGTAAACTTACTGATACAATGGTGTCAAAACAGCAGCTGGAGCAGAGGATGCTGCAGTTATTGGAGGCTGAGCAAAAGAGAGCTTCTGAGGAGGACTCCATGCAAATGCAGGTGCAGGTAGTATTGCTCAAATATTTTAAGAGTTTGGGTTCTTTTTCCTCTCACTTTGTGACTGTGGAAGTGCAGAAATATCCTTGAAATGCTGCTTTAGCAAAGCTTTCCCGCCGAATAAAGGATGAGAAAACCGTGCCGGTCCACTTGTGGAGTGAGACCTCGTGTGTGGTGCTGTGAGGAGGTCTGGGGCCATTTCACACCTGAGAAGTGCTGTGGGCAAGTCAGCAAAACGTGCTGACCTGATTTTCCAAGCTGTGAAATGGTGCCATGGTGTGGGGAACACCCTGGGAGAGCAGCCCTGCACCTTTGATGTTCCTGTGAGCTCTTCCCAAGTGATCTCCCTTCTCCCTGGCGTCAGGTGGTGAGAGGTGGCAGTGTGGATGTAGCTCTTGAGGGATTCAGGAAGCCCAAATGGATTATGGTGGGGAATATTCCTCTCTTGATACACAACAGGTCCTTGGGCTTCCACTCAAACTGCTTGATCTTAGTGGGGAGAAAAAAACAAAACAAAACAAAACAGCATCTCATAAAAGTGTCTGACATGTAAATGCTGAACTGTTCCTACTAACACAATCAAGGCTAAAAGCTAATCGTAGCAAAAGTTGACCAGCTGCAGATCTCAGCCTGCTTTTCTTTCTGTGCTCTCTTACAAGGAGCTGATAGAGCAGAATGATGCTTTGAATGCTCAGCTTCAGAAGTTTCATTCACAAATGGCAGCCCAGGTACAGCATGTTCTCAGACTTCCTTTTGTAGTCATGAATTGTGTACTTTCATTAAAAATAAAACTTTTTTTTTTTTTTAATAGCTGGATATGAGATGTAATGCTGAAAGCAAGGACTTGGTAGCATCCTTTTTTCTAATGTTTCTCAAAGTGGTGTAAAACTTTAAGCTGCTTTCTTTCTTTGGGGGAAAATCCACTTATTTTCTCCCATAGTGGCTTTCATTTATAACCAAAGGGTTTAGTACCTTTCTGAATGTTTGTTTTCTGTAGCTTTGCATGTGTAAAATTCTGTCCCGTGGTTCTTCTGGTCTTTTTGCAGCCCTGTGAACCACCTGATTGTGCTTTTTTCCCTTGTGAGAAACATTGTCTTATGGTAGCCCCTGTATAAAGTTGTTTGTTCATTTCTGTGCAGAAGATTAAAAAAACCCACCAAACCTGCACAGTGCCCCTTCTCAGTTATTTGAATCTTTGAAATTTTAGTTTGACCAGTTTATTTGAGAATTTATTTCTGTTGTAAACATGGTGTAAAGCCTCAGGGTCACTGGTGTTGCTTCCATCTAGAGGGTAGGTCACAGAAATCAGCTCAGAAAGGCTTTGTGGGCACAAGTGGAGACAGCACCCAACTGCATAGGGACAGCCTTCTTTTAATCATGGATGTGCTTGATGGAATTTGATTAAATTCCACGACAGACTGAAAATCTGGATTTGCTTGAAGTGCTTTAACCCTTTGGGTGTGGAGAGAGTAGTGGAGGAGGAGCCACTCTGGATTTACAGCATCTTCATGACCTGCTCCTCTCATCCTAGTCCTTTAGAGGCTTTAGAAATTATTCCCTAAGGAAATTTTACTTTTTAGCTCTGGGTTGCACAGGGAGAGCTGTTGGAAGGAGATGTGTGCTTTTTCTGTGTAGCCCCCACTGGCCATGAAAATTCAGGGATGTTTTTCCACCGTGGACAGTGGATGTAAAAAAAGCCCTATGGAGAGGTGAGGTTGGACTGGATCCCCCTCTGGGTATCAGGGTTGGTGAAACTCTTTTGGTCATTAAAGACACCTCTGGGACTGGAACTATTTGTTCCCTTTGATATTTTGTTTCTCCCTCTGCTGTTCTCCATGGTGTGATGTCAATAGGGCAGTACAGGGATTGCCATAAGGTCTCCCACGGGCACAAACTCTGTGAGATCCAGGATTTTGGGGGAGGGAGAGACTGGAAAAGGAGAACCATGAACGTGAAGCACAAATATCCTTGAAAGTTCTGCCACAGCTGCTCCCAAAGTGGATGTGAAACAGTCTGCAGTGTGATGGGTCTCTCCTGCCCTGTTGTGTGTGACAGCAAAGGAATGGGCTTTTTCCAGGGAGGAAAAAAATGCCCCTTGCTGGTTTTGTGTCGCTCTTTCTGTTCCTAACACAAGTCCTGATACACTGTGCAGGGTTTTCTTTTTTAAAAAATTTGAGTGGTTTGTCAGCAGAATGTCCCATAAAGCACCTAATTCCCGGGAGACAGGTGCTTGTTTGAATCTGGGGAATGGGAAATAATACAAGTCTTTTCTTCGTGCTGCCTTAGGCCAAAGGGGAAGAAGGGACATTAGTATGGGCTGGTATTCCTTCACTGTTCCTTAGCCAGGAAATAGCTGGAAGCATCCTGTGCCAGTTTAAAATAACTAGACAAATGCTATTCCTGGCTCACTGTAGATGAGGATTCTTTGACTTGCTTTACTTTCAGCTTTTTTTTTTTTTTTTTTCCCCTTTTTACAGACTTCAGCTTCAGTCCTGGCAGAAGAACTCCACAAAGTGTGAGCATTCATTTCCTCTGGGAATTTGGGAGGTGTTCCTGGCTTTCAGTGCCTGCCACCTTCCCTCCGTGCACCTGCAGGAGGGGCTGGGGGAAGGAATTATTGCTGTCCCGTGCTTTTAACTTTCCCACCACGAGATTGACTTGGGAGCTGGGAAACCACTTCCTACGGATTTCCCTTCCGTGTCTGGCCTCAGGTTTGGAGGCTGCTGTAGGTGGCTCTGTGTGCAACATCTCTCCTGTTTTCTCTCTGCCTGTTGTGCAGGGTCAGTGCAGGAATGTGAGTGACCACGGGAATTGTAATTATTTGGGCTGTACGTGGCTGTGCCGGGAGGGTTTTCTCCCTCTGGGAGATGGGGCAGTTGTTGTGTTTCAGAGCTGGGGAATGTCTCATAAATTTTTTTTGGCAAGTGGACAACATTTAAAATGGAAAAGTTTTTTTGGGACCCAAAACGTGCAGTCAGCAGGATTTAGAGTAGGGGCTGCTGGACTTAAAGGCCAGCATGTATTTTGTGTTTTAACCTGATGTTTCCTGCACCGGTTTCATCCAGATCTTTTTGTACTGATCTGTCACCGTTTCTCATTTGTGCAGGATTGCAGAGAAGGACAAACAGATCAAGCAGATGGAGGACTCATTAGGCAATGAACATGCCAACCTAACCAGCAAGGAGGAAGAGCTCAAGGTATAATAAAAGCATGTGTAAATGCCAGCTGATACAAGGGGGAGTGTTGGCTGCCTGTACAAAAGGAAGCCCCCAAGGCTGCTGCCTTTGGCTCTAAAAACAGCCCCTTCAGCTACAAGTCTGCTCATTTGGCTCCTCTAGGCCAGTGCTAGATGCTGGGAAAGCTCTTGATACGGAAGCTTGAGGATTTTCCTTCGAAAAGTAACCTGAAATGCTTTGCCCTGGAGAGAGAACTTACCTGAAATACTGTCTGTGTATGAACTGCAAATGTATTTCTTCTTCTCCTTCCTTCAGGTCTTACAGAACATGAACCTGTCCCTGAAATCAGAGGTCCAGAAGTTGCAGGCTCTGACAAATGAACAGGTGAAATAGTTTTTTCATTAAGTATTTAATTTTCCTCCCTTCCCTCTGCCTGTTCTGCCGTAAATGCAAATGCAGATCTGTTGGCTTTAAGCAAGCTGTGCTTAAGCACATTAATGGTGTGTGAGGCTTCCGGATCGGGCTAATACCTGATTCCCTGGAGTTTTTACAGCTGCTGGGAGGCCTATTTCTTATCCCTCCTTCACCAACAAAATCTTTTACTTGGACATCCAAGTTCCTGAAGCAATTTGCTTGGTTGGGTTAGATTTTTAGGCTCACAGGGTGCAGGACACTCCACAGGAGTGAACACAACTGTCTGTCAATGTGCAGGCATTTACTTAAGAGGGTCATCAACATTATCCTCCCCCCCAAAAAACCCCCCAAAAGCACACAGAATGCTCTGCCTCACTAGGACCAAACAAAATGTTGTCCCTCTGTTACTGCTTCATGGCCTGTTTATTAGAGAGGTGGAAATGAAGTGTTTAATTAGAGATAATCCCAGTTTGTCAGATGAATTCTCTTCGAGATCTTCTTCCCTTTGCATAATTACATCTTGCCTGGTGTTGTTGATTGGTGGTGTAAAAGTGCATGAAGACAAGCTTACCCCCTTTCACTCTTTGATTTCAGTCATGTGCTGAGAGGCCAAATGACTTGTTCTAGCTTTTTAATATTGTGGAATGAAAGGTTGATTGAATCATGTGATGTATCCTAAGTCTGTGTTAATCCTCTTTATATCTAGGCTGCTGCTGCACATGAGCTGGAAAGGATGCAGAAAAGGTAAATAGCTCTGGGATTTGATAAACAGCGTTTATCAGTCTTTTTATGTTCTTTTGAATGGTGCTTTTTGTGAGACTTTGGATTGGGAAACGTGTTTAACTGTTCTGCTGTGTCTCAGCATTCACGTCAAAGATGACAAAATAAGAAGTCTTGAAGATCAGCTTCGAGAAGAACTTGCCCAGATTTCAAACACAAAAGAAGAATTCAAGGTAAGGTGCAGATTAGTTGCTGTTGGGCTTATTTACAGGAAGTTTTACAGAGTTTGAAGGCTGTGGAGCAACTACAGAACAGTGAAATAAAACTGACTCTCGTGTGTTAAGGTGAATTACAATACTGTGTTTGCAAGGCAAGAGCAGTGTGGGATGTCACCGTAGTAGCAGCTGACTGTGCAGCAGAGTAAGAGGTGGGGGAGCACATGCTGAATGCAGTGTCTGCAGTTGTGAGGAGAGAGGGCTTTGAAATCTGCAGGAGGAGGCTGTACAGTGAAAGATATTGTGATTTTTCCAGCATTACACCTCCTAATATGACTTTCAAGGCCTTGGTGTGAGCTTTTTTGTTGCTTAGATTACCATGCCAAGTCTCTGTTTTCTGTCAAGGTGGGTGTGTAAAATTGCTTATTTTCCTTCTGCCTTCTTCCAGATTGTTTCTCATAAGGCTGCAGCTGAACTGCTGAAGCTTTTGTTCTGACATCTGGGGTCTGCACAGCAAAGCTGCTGCTGGTTTCTAGATGGTGTGTGCAGAGAGCAGTTTAACCCCCTCCTTGCCCTCTGCCACCTTGGCCTTTTTCTTCTGAGCTGAGGCTCTTAGAAACAGCCCTGCTTCCTGAGAAGGGCGATGACTCTGCCTTTTTAATTCCTTTAAAGCCCCTGGCGGGGGCTGCAGCTCTTCTGATGTTTCTGGTGTCAGGTCAGTCACTCTGAATCTCACAAGGTCAGGTTGGTAAGTTGATTTTTTTTTTTTTAGTGAGGAACAGAGCAGGTGGGTAGTGGCAGAGGCAGGATGCTTTTGTAGGAGAAGCCTCTGGAGTCTCCTGGAGCTCTTTGAAGCAGGGAGTAAACTTGATTCGTGTATTAAAGTGGCACTTTCAAAGAGGTTTTGATGAGAGTCCCTTGCAAGGCTCAGTAGTTTCTCTAAGCTGTCAGAGAATAAGAGGGAAGAAGTTAGCTCAGTTAATTGAACAGGAAACAAAGTGCAATTTCAGTCGATTTTTGGAATGAAGCTGTTGACTGAATCTTCAGTGAAGTGTGTGCTGGGTAACTAGTGTATAAACAGTGTCGAGAGGGGAGTGGGAAGAGATGGCAAGGCTGGAGTAAGTGGGCAGGTCTCGAGTTAGTGACACTCTCAGGGATTTTCAGCGTGGTGGAACACTATAAAATAGCAAGTGAAGTGGTGAAAATGGAATAAGAGGAGGAATAATGTGAGCATCCTTTAGTGTGGTGGTTTCTGTAGTAACTGTTACCCAGGAAAAAGGCCTTGGAGGTGTTTGTGAATGGTTATGTGCTCAAATCAATTCCGTGCTAAGCAGTGGCAAAAAAATCACCTGGAGGCAATTCTAGCAGTTCTTGGGGAAGTGAACAGAGAACTGAATGCAGAAGATGATCATTCTGATAGTGCAGAAATCTATAGTGTGCTCTCAGCACGAATATCATGTGCACTGCTGGTCTCTTCCTCCTCCTGTCTTTGATCCCAAACACAAACCACGCCGGTACTGCACTAAATGCTTCCACCTGAGGAAGTGCTGCTGTTTCCCCTGCACATGAAAGGGGGGGAAAAACAGAGCAATGCTTTTCATCCTCCCTGTTGCTGTCCCTTCCTGCTCGTGTTTTCTCAGTAAGGCTGAAAGTCCAGAGCACGTGCCCTGCTTTTTTTTACTTCGAGTCTTAAAAAAAAGACCTTGTAAAGCAAAGAGCAATAATAGGGGAGGATTTGAAAATACATAGGAGGAATTTAGACAGACAGGCTGTCTGTTAAGGGCTGCTGTGCCTGTTGCACGGAGCAGGAATGCTGGAGGAGAGGCCGAGTGTGGTAGGGCTGTTTGTCTTCCCCATTCACCTCTTCCCAACCTGCAGTGGGACCCAAGTGTGGGAGCTGTGCAAACCCTCTGCTGCTGGATTGACAATTCCTTGCTGAAGGGAACTAGAAAGGGAGTCTTGGACCATTTGCTTCAGCAGATGAGTGTTTTGGAAGAGGCAGCTATCAAATCTTGACATGATGGTGATGCTGCTTGAGGAGGAAAATGCATTTTTTTCTTTTTTTTTTTTTTTCCCTGAGCTTCTCACACTTGTTACTGTCTGATTCTCTGCCAGGGAATAAAGATGGTAACAGCTGAATTTCTCATGGGAACATAAGGACAATACTTTTGTCCTTAATACAGAAAAGCAAGAAAGAAGAGGAAAGGACTCTTTGTAGTCTTGTAGCTTCCAAAGAACTCTCTGTAATGACTTCTGTGCTGTTTAATTATCTCACTGCCATTATGGAAATGCTGTAGTTTAGGCTTTGCAGTTCTGAACTGATAAAAAATGTCTGAATTTTTTTCTAGGTTCTCAAGGATCAAAACACATCTCTGCAAGCTGAGGTTCAGAAGCTGCAGACTCTCCTGTCTGAGCAGGTATAGCCACTGTTTGCTGAGGTTGTATCAAATATCTTCCAGTCTTTTAATTTCTTCAGTATTTTTTTCTTAGCCTGGTTGGAGGCTGAACTGGTTGGTGTCAAAACTGATGCTTTTTAGGTATTTTCCATGGAGGGTTCAAGTAAGGCAGTTGTGACTGTCTTCTAGACCTAGCCAAGGGTGTCCAAACAAAACACGGATTTTTATTTTTTTTCCTTCTCCTAGTTTAACACAAGCAAGAGCTTATTTGTTCAACCACTCTTGTTTTGTCAGCAATTTTCTGGAATTAAAAAAACCCCAGCCCTTCCAGAGGAGAGGGCTTTTCTGGGCTGTGGAAAGACCCCAGAGCAAGATTTTTACCCTGCTTGTTTTCTTCCATCCCGGACTGAATCCTCAAACCAGTAATAGCAAAGAACAGACCCATGGAATGGGAAAACTCTTTCCATTGGGATTTTGCTTCCTGTTGTGTGTTTTTGCCCATGGCTGCAGCCAGTCTGGTGCTCAGAGGATGCTGCAGGTCAAAGCTGTGGAGCTGCTCATCTCCCTCTCCTTCGGGAGCATCACCTGGGAGAGCCCTTGGGAACCCCTCTGGCTTTGTACCATTGACAAAACTTCCTGAAACACTGGAAAAAGACTTGCAGGGCAGGAAACTTATCTTCTTTTCTGGGCTGGTGTCTGCTGGCCAGGAGCTCCCTGTCTGGAGCAGCTCCCTTTTTTTCTGGTGGAGAACCAGGTCTGCTCCCCTGGGTCTGGCTGATCTCGTGTCCTGTCTGGAAGACTGGGGCTGATTTTTTTTTTTTTTTTTCCTGGAAGCTGATTTTATATTTCCCATCTGGTCTCTCACAATGTGGTGGTGTTGAGAAATCAGAAATGTTCTGCTGAGTGAGCCTCAGGTAGAGCTTGTGGTTCCAATAAAAGCTCAAAAAAAAAAAGGAGTTTTTTTTAGGTGCTGGAGCTGGCTGCTGTGGATTAGATGCTGCAAGTCCATCAGTGTAAAATCATCCAGGCATTTGGGCTGGATCTGTCCCCTCCCTGAAAGACTGATAATTTTCCAGCCTCATTATTGGAGACCCAAATGCCATGAGGAGATTCTTCCCCTACTTTATTTTGCTTTCTGAGTTAGTGTTGTAACCAAGCTTCTGGTTGTTTTTTTTTTTTTTTTAAATACCAAATCATTAATAATTCAATCAATGATGACCCTTTTTTGTTGTTTTTTTTTTAATAGACAAACAAAGACTTGATAGAGCAGATGGAAAAAAGGTACGAAACTTTTTTTGATTTTGAGTCAGAGGCTAAAATAAAGATTTTGCTGGCAGTAAGGTTACTGTTGGTAGCTAAACTGCCTTCAAAGGTTAACTCTCCTTCTCCTAATACTCACTCTTGCTTTCTCAGCATGAGAGAGAGGGATGAGAAAATCAAGACAGTTGAAGAGCTGCTGGAGGCAGGACTCATACAGGTGGCTAATAAAGAGGAGGAGCTCAAGGTAAAATCTCCTGCATTGTCTCTTGATGGGGAAGTAGAGACGAAGTGCTCTTGTGCAGAGTGTGTGTTGGGAGTGCTCATAGAGCAGCCTGAGATAATTCCTTCTGAATAGGAAAAGCAGACAAGGTTAAAACCTTTTTTTGTAAGATAGACTGAGCATTAGCACTGATGGCCTGGAGTAAGTGCTTCTCTCTGCTTAATCTAGAGCAGATTTTGCTGGGGTGCAATCCTGGTGTCCTTTGGAATAATGGGAATACATCTCCAGAGCTGTACGTTTGGCTTAATCTCCAACAAATCTGCCTTTAGGAAAGGGTATTTTGTAAAAACTTGGCATTATGGGATTCTTGCATCTTCTTGTTGAATTGATAATCTGGAGGGTTAAATGGATTGTAAAGCAGTGACACTTTTTAGATGAAGATAGAGTTATTTCCTGCCTGTTTGTTTATAAAGAAGGTAGCCATGAGAAGCCTGGAAGGCCAGAACAAGAATAGCTGTGTGCTTTCAGCTGGCTTTTGCTGGAAAGTTGTGTCCTGTCTACCTGGACAAAGCCAAGGGCAATGCTCCCTTTCCTAATGTCCCTAAATTCCAGGTGCATTGCTGACACCCCTGTGCTGGGGAGGGCTTGCAAAACTGTCAGGTTACTGAAGAGCCAAAGATGTGAGCACGTCACAGAATAGTTTGAGTTGGAAAAGACCTTTCAAGATCAAGTCAAACCATTCCCCCAGCACTGCCAAGCCCACCCCGACCCATGTCCCCAAGTGCCACATCCACAGGGCTTTTAAATCCCTCCAGGGGTAATGGTGTTTTACAAATTCATCTAAGGTGTCTTAATTATTTGTTTGAAATAACATTCTTCAATTTTTTTAACAATGCTAATGGCAATGTTAGGAATATGTGATTTTTAAGCCTGTAGTGTGTTTCTGCACAGGGGCATCTTTGACTCCTTGTGTATTTTGGACATTATTATTGGCTCCAGAGGAGAAGTTTTTATTATTTGAATCCCCATATCATATAAATAGAATGGAAATTAATGGGCAGCCCCAAAGATGTGAGGAATGGCAATGGCCCATAACATAACTTCTTACATTTGCTTTTCTGAGCTCTCTGCTCAATTAGAGCATTCCTACCTTGCTCTGTACCTGAGCTCTAACTTCCCATACACTGAATGAAGTCCACTCCAAGTTATCCACGATGAATAATTAGTCCACTGAATGCTTTGGCTCCAACAGCTGCAGAGGAGGGGGGTGAGGGGGTGTCTCTCTTTCAGACTTTCAAAGTCTTTCGCTTATTCTGAAAGAAATTACTTTTCTGTCAAGCTTAACACTTTTTTTTTCCCCACCAAATGAGTCTTTCATTATCTGTGTGTCTGCTTTCAAAGGCACTGAGAACGGAAAATTCATCCCTGAGAAAAGAACTTCAAAGTCTGCAGATTCAGCAATCGGAGCAGGTAGGACTTTTTCATCTAAAACTTTTATTACACCTAAACTAAATCTGAAAGAATCTTGCTGGGGTTGCAAAAGTCAAGGGGAAAAAGGTGGAGGTGCCTTTGAAGCCTGTTGGCAAAGCATGCTGTTTTCTTCCAGAGCTGGTCTGGAAGCTCATGCTCGTGTCAAACATTTCCTGGGCAGAGGTGTAAGAAGCGGGGCTGATGGAAAGGATCCAGAGTGGGCCACGCACTGAAATGGCTGTGGATTGTTTTTTCCAGAAGCCCAGAGCAGCAGGCATGGCTTGGGAGGCAGCTTGTACTGCCCCAGCTTCCTGCTGTGTGTTTTCCAACGTTAATCCCCACCCTGCAGATGTGATTTACCCCCTTCTCTTTATGGCTGTGATCAGTGATACTGTCACAGCACTGCCATTTTCGATCATCTGATCAGAAGGTGCCTTTCCTTGACATCCAGCTCTGCTTGGACAGCTCAGGAGGGCACTTAGTTCCTAGAAAAATCACTCATGGAAAAGGGGAAGCACAGTGACCATGAAGAAATGTACAATATGTACAGTATTAAAGGTTGACTGATCAAATGCTGGTGTTGAACCTCACCCTCTCCTGATAAAGACTTGGTATTATTGGTTTGTCAGAAACTGGAGACTGGCAGCTAATTTTCTTAGGAGATAAATAAAATCATTAGGCTTCTACATCATTTACTCAGTGCCAGGGTGCTCCAGCTCTCTACTCCTCACCCCTCGACACTTGCAGATTGTTTTGCTGTCTTCTGTATTTTCTAAGTTGAAGCTCTGTTTTGAACAGGTTTCCTTCCAATCACTGGTGGAGGAACTCCAGAAAGTGTAAGTTGCTGCACAGATTTAATTTCTAATTGTTGCTCCTCTCTGTCTTTATCCCATGACTACAAGTAAATCACTTCCCTGAAATTATTTGCTTTTAACTGGGTGAAGTGTGTGTATGTGGCAGGAAGCATTTTCCCTTCAGAGGCACATCATTGTCAGATCAATACCTTCTGCAAATCCAGTTGCTTCTCTGCTAAGCAATTAATTTCATAAGCCTGGCTTGGAACTGGAATTGCACTGATTTGTCAGATCCCCCTTTTTGTTCTGTAGGCATTTTAAAAGGGGTGAGCTTGTTTGCTCTGTGTGGGCTCCAAGTTGATAAATACTTTGCTGGAAAGTCCTCTGAAGGCTGATTTTTAAGTGTGTGTCATTCCAGGGACTATTGATTGCCTTGCATTTTTAGACTGTAATAGTATCTATTTAGCATGTGAACTGCTGGTTATATAAAGCCAGCTTGTGCTGATTATTCCCAGTCTTATCCTTCCTGTTTGTTCCTCCTGCCTGGTCCCACTGTGGACCCCAGAGGCTGGTGCTGTGATGGGATAACAACCAAAGCCTGTGTGTTGGCTGGAGCAGGCACATTTTTTTTCCAGCTGATGTTGTCCCTCTGCTCTCTTCAAGGATCCACGAGAAGGACGGAAAGATAAAATCAGTGGAAGAACTCCTGCAAGCTGAAGTCCTAAAAGTGGCAAGCAAGGAGAAGACTGTTCAGGTATCTCTGTGCAATCCCTGCCTTGGTTCCTGTGTGGATGCCACTGACTTACCATTTCTTTGTTACTGCATGGCACCGTAGAGCGATGAACTCGTAGCATCCATTCTCGTGGCGTTTTTTTGTGTTTCCATTGTCCAACCCTGTCTGTTTTGTCATTGAAAAGGCTTTGACACAGGAAATAGAGGCTCTGAAAGAAGAAGTAGGAAATTCCCAGCTTGAGATGGAGAAACAGGTAAAACACCTTAGTGGCAGCAGTGTGACCCAGCCTTGCCTTGGATGTGCTGCTCACTCATTTCTGTTCTGGTGTGTTTTGTTTCACTGGTCGATGGCACTGGGTAAGGGGGATGTTTTACTGGTAGAGCCATTCTTGGCTACGAAGCCATAAATATGTAGTGTTATTAGTGCTGTCCTTCAGAAACCACCTACCTCTGGATGCCTGAGCTTTTTGGACCATTAGGGTGGAATTTGGCAAGAATTGCTACAGCTTAAGGCACTGCAACATTTGCTCTGGCTGGGCACAGTGCATTACTGTCCCAGTAGTAAAACATGGAAACCTGGGACATTTTTGGGGGCTGACAACTTGGGAATTTCAAGTTCTGGAGTTGCACCTGCTATTGTTGGCCTTTCTGTGTCGCTGGAACAAAACTACAGGCCCCAAAATAGTATCTGGTTTCCAGGTAAACCCAAGACCGTTTCCTTCCCGGTGCCCAAAGAGAGTCAGTCTTGGCACAGGAAGTTTTACTCCAGCAATCAGGAATGCAGGAGTGGAGGAGCCTTGGCTTTTTTGGCACGATTGCTGTCTAGCATCCAGAGCAATGTGAGCCCACGTTTCCTTAGGGAGCCCGTTCTGCAGGCAGCTCAATCCATCGTGCTGTCAGGAAGTTTGCTTGTTTGTGTGGGTTGTGCTTTTGGTCTGCACTTTTAATTTTTTTTTTCTTTTTTCTCTCCAGTCTTTCTAGCTACGTTCCAAAATGTCACCCCCTTTTCTTCCTCTTCTCCTTCCCTTAGTGTTAAAGTTTTGTCCTTTTTAGGCAAAGCTTCACAGAATGTGTTTCCGTCTTGGGCTTTTCCTCCAGAGCAAATTTCCAGGAACTGAGGGAGTTATTTTTGTGTATTTCCTTCCCCTGGAACTGACACAGAGCTCAGGAAAAAAAAAGGGCAGTTTGGAGTTGCTGCCTCTGGAAAGCTCCAAATGAGGGATGCTTGCTCCAAAGGTGATACATTTGTGCACCTCCTGCAAGCAGAATAGAGATTTTTGGGAATGTCTGAAAGTCCTACCATGTCGTGGTAGAGGATCTCCCACAGATAACAGCATCTACACCGATAACTACTGTCAGTCTTCCATACAGAATTCAAATTCCCATTAAACCTTGTGTCTTCAATCCATGTTCAGCCTTAAATGGGAATTTAAAGGAGCGCTGATGTTGCAGAGAGCATCCAAAAATCAATTCCTTGTGCAGAGATCTCAGTGATCAGGGATGATCCCTCTCGTGTTTGAGCTGCAGTTGCCAGTGAGATGGTTGTCATCATCAGTGTCTGCTTCTTCCTGTGTGTCCTGTGGCGGAAACATGGGCCTGCTTTGTGTTCCCATTTGCACCATTTCCTTTGCTGCTCTGGAAGTCACATTTTAGATGTGGAGAATGTAAATAGTGAAGACACTTGGCTTCTCATAATTAAAAAAAAAAAGGACAAACAAAGGAGTGTTTATGCTTATTTAACTGCAATAAATCGTGCCTAATTTATGAATGCCTGTTTTTTCTCCCTAGAGCAGTTTTTAGCATTTATTATTTTGCCTTTTCCACGTGCATCGCACTGAAATACTGATTATTTTCTTACAGGTGTCGATTACATCACAAGTCAAAGAACTTCAAACTCTGTAAGTACAGTTGTTACTGCCTGATCTGCCCTGTGTACCCCTTACTTCTCTGCTCTGTTTCCAGTTAAAAATATTTCTTTCCTGCTGTCTGTGCTCCACGTGAAGTGATCCAGGCTGGTAACACTGTCCCTGTTAGGAACACCTGGCCCTGCCTGAGACAGCAAACAAGAAGTGCTGCCTGGCTTTTGTGAGCCCCAGTTTAGCTGCAAGGATTTAAATTCAAGCCAGGATGGAGGGATGTGGGCAAGGCATAGTTGGAAAACTTAATTTGGAAATAGCTGTGCTGTAGCTGGGTGGGTAAGGGATCAGCCAGTCCCTTGTGGGGAGGGGGAAGGAAGTATTTTTAGCCGAGGAGAGAGCACACTTGTGTGACATCCCTGCAAATATGTGTCAGCTCTCACTTAATGAGCAGCTCCACTGATCAAGGGCATCTCCTGCTAACCCAGGCTGAGGTGGAGGTGTTCACACATCGATTTTTAGCAGGTGAATTGTGTTTGTGCCTTTGATCAGAGAGGCTGCTTTTGTTTACGTGCTGCAAAGCCATGGGATGGTTTATTTTCAGGTGGGTAAAGGAGCGGGGGTTTATGCTGTGTGTCTCTGTGTGTTTAATGGTACAGGCTGAAGGGGAAGGAAAAGCAGGTGAAAACCATGGAGGCCTTATTGGAAGAGAAGGAGAAAGAGATTGTTAAAAAAGGAGAATGTCTGCAGGTAAGCCTTCTTTGGTATTCTGGAGGGATATAAGTTCTGTTGCAGCATTTCTGGCTCTGAAAAGGATAAATTTACATTTCTAAACTTTTTTTTTTTTTTTTTTTGTCCAAAGGGTCAGAAGGATACAATTGCACAATTAACCAGTAAAGTTCAGGAGTTAGAACAACAGAACCTGCAACAGCTCCAACAGGTACAGCCTGCAGAGTGGATGTGGTTTGGGAATGCTCCTTGGTTGAACAGGAAAACATTTTTCTCCCTACCTCTCAAAAAGGGTTTGCATTGCCTTCAACCTGCAAAGCTGTTTTAAATCCTGCTTGACTGAGCTGGTAGCCTGCAGTGCAGAGATCCCAGTGGTTCAGCTGTGTTCATCCAAAACTGGTTTTACGTGGGTAACAAGTTCTGAGGGCTTTTCCTTAGCTGGGCTGACACCGTGCATAACGAGGAGCTTTGGGGGCTCTGGGAGCTTTGAAGCTCCCAGGCAGACTCAGAGCCGTGTCCTGGGCACCTCCTTGCCAGACTGGAGCAGGTCTGGAGGCCTCTGGTCATGGAGGAGCTCTTGCTGTGACAGAAGGTAGCAGCTCCTCCTAAAGTGGTTAGGCTTTGCTGTGATTCCTTCCTGCCTTTACCTGGGGCTGGAATATTTTGGCTTTTGGTTCCCTGCACTGGATTTGAGAGCGGGCAACTGGACGTCCTTGATGGAAGAATTTTTTTCAGTAAGGTGGATTTCTAACTCAGTTTGGATTTTTGGTGATGGTAAAAGGGGAGAAACTGAGTTGCATTTTTGTTTTGGGTGGAAGTCTAGACAGGCATTTATCCCAGGGGAAATATGGAATGGAGAGCGGTTGGCTGGTGTGAAGTTTGGGATGCTTGGTGTAAGCTCTGCTTCTGAAATCCATTATGTGTTTAGCTATTCTTGGATCAGTGTCTGATCCAAAACTCCTGGTGTTTCTTTGGCAAGCGTCTCGCAAGTTGTGTTTTGCCTCTGCTCCTGCAAAGAGTGGCTGTTAATTTGAAAACTGTGCCATCAGAATGAGATTGGGAATTACTTTTTACAGGTACCAGCTGCATCCCAAATCCAGGACCTGCAGAGCATGTGAGTATGCATAGTAGCAGTTCCTCAAGTGTCTGCTGAGAATATGCATTCAGTGCTGGCACTTATCTTAAATTGGAATGTATGAATTGGTTTGAGGAATTTCATGGGCTTTTGCTAAAATAAGCTCTTAGTGCCGGTGGCTGTTCAGTGTCTGCGGTCCCTGCCCATCCTGCCTGAGCAGGGCTGCTCACACTCTCTGGGAATGTTCACCCAGGGCTCTATTAACCAGTGAAACTTCTTGTGCCTGGTGATAATTTCTCCTTCTGTTCAGCATTTTTAAAAGAGTGTGTGGCTTGAAGTGCCTGTGGCTCAGCTGGGGGAAGCAGTGAGCAGATCCAGCCTGCCATTTCCAGGCTGGGATGCAATAGCCAGTTCTCCAGCTCCTGTTTTATGGAGAAAGGCTGCCAGGCTTTCCTCTGCTTTGACTCTGCTTTGTCTGGCTGCTCCAAGTCAGAGGAAGGTCGTGTGAGACTGTGCCAGAAAAGGGCTCTGTCTTTAGTGCAGCTCTGGTGATGTGCTGCCCTCCCAGCAGAGCTCTGCTGGCGCCAGGGTGTGGAACCTGAGGCAGCCTCACCTTTAGGAGACTGTCCCTGGCACCTTCAGAGCCACCTGGCTTGCAGGGATTGCTCAGGTGATCCATTCCTTGGGTTGGGTTGGAGCTGTAGTGCAATGGTTTCTTCCCCATGTGTGTGTGTGCTCTCCTTTTGGCTGATTATTATTTATAGCATACAAAACTTATTTATCTTCTGCTACAAAAACCGTCCCAGTTAGTGTCTGTCCCTTTTTAGCATAAATTCTTACTTTAACCTTTTTTTTTTCCCCCTTACTTTAATCTTTTTTTTTTTTTTCTTACTTCCTAAACCATCTCTGCAGGTTGAAAGGGGAAGAAGAACAAATGAAGAAGTTGAAAGCTGTGGTGGAAGAAAAAGAGAGAGAAATTGCAAACCAAGTAAAGCAGTTGCAGGTAAAGGTTTGATAACATCATATTTGAGGAATGTATGCATTGTGAGTGTGTATCTCTATTTATACACGAGTTTACGTTATCTTTTTTTCTTTCAACAGGAGGTGCAGAAAGAAAATGAATCTTTTAAAGCTCAAATACAAGAATTAAAGCAGGAGAACTGCAAACAGGTACAGCTTCCAATTGTGCACTGTTTGAATGAAGTCGAAGGGGGTGATGGTATCTTGTAGGATGGTATGGAAAAACCAGTAGTTGTGTTGACCATGGAAATCCAGGGACAGCTTCAGGGCTGGGTTGCACTAAGCCAGTTTTTCTGGCTGTTGCATTTCTGTTCCTCTTTCCTTTTATCATGTGGATTTGCAGCCTTGTGTTCTTTCTTACTCCTGTGTTCTCATCTACCTTTCCACCCAACTCTTTCCATACCGTATCCCAGCTGGGCTCCTGGCCAAGGGAAGCTGGACAGGATTCCCTTGAAAGGCCCAGAGTGCAGCTGCGTGGTGTTGCAGCAGTGCCTGATTGACGAGGCAGATCGTGGTCTCTGCTGCTGGTCTGCTCCTAACCCGTCTCTGATCTCTTTGCAGGCATCCCTGGCTGTCCAGAGCGAGGAGCTTCTCCAAGTGTGAGTACTGCCAGGAGTCGAATGCAATTCATTCATTTCACTTACTGCTCAGGAGATTTAGAAGGTGAAATAAATGCCAAATGTACAGTATCAGAGTGTGAGAAGTGGGCAGTAAGAGGAAAAAAAAAAAAAAGAGTTTGCCATCTAATAAAACTTGAACATGGAGATTCTGCTCACAGTGACAATCCTGGGGTGTCCTGCTGGCAGTGCCTTGTGCCCACCACGGAAGTGAGCCACGATTGATTTCATTTTGGATGCGTGCCAGCTCAGCTGTAAAGGCCTAAGAGCTAAATGTTGGTGTTTCAGGCAAAAGTGGCAGGCTTTTTTTCCTGGGAACTTCAGCTCAGTAGAGGGGTTTTCATGTTATAAAATCATCCGGTGGAAATCTCTTCCCGGGGAAGAAAATCTCAGGGGTAAAAAAGTGTGTTATAACGTGGAGCTGAAGCACACTGAATAACCATGTGGAAGCTAATGCCATACTGCCTTACACTGTGCTAAGCAAATTGCCACTGTCATGCATTTTTGGCTGGCTGAATTATTTGTCTTTTAAGTTAAATGACTTATAAATTGTGGACTAGGTGCTTGAAAGGGAACGCTCTTATCCGGCAGGCAGTGCCTGTTCTGTGGCGCTGTGCGAGCGTGGGCTGGCTGACTTATCCTCAGTTAATGCTCTGCCTTTCTGTGGCCCTGATAAATGTGTGCAGATGCCTCTTGTAGGCAAACAACAGCTTTACAATGGGCTTTGCTCTGGCAGCCCGTGGTTCACAGAGCAGTGGGAAGCAAGTGATGCTGCCAAGTCAGTGAGAGCAGCTTTTTTAAAGAGAGTGTGTTGCTGGAAGGGAAGGCCAGGCAGTGTATGGGAAAGGGTGTCAGTGCTTCACTGGAAGTTTCTTCAGTGTCTCCTGACTTGTTTATGGTTCTCTTTGTCGATTCAGGGTTGCAGGCAAAGAGAAGGAAATCGCCAGCCTCCAAAACGAGCTCGCCTCTCAGAGAAACGCCTTTGAGCAGCAGAGGAAAAAGAACAACGTAAGGAAATCCTTCCCCCACCGCCCCAGAAAACCCCCCGAGCTCCCAAAACAGCCAAACCTGTGTGCACAGCACTCCCTGATGCCTGGGGCGTTCTGCAGGGAGTGTTTCTGACAGTTGTCTGCTGTACTGTGCCCCCTGGACACTCCTTTCCTCTTGGGAGTGACTGAGCATACCTTACTTCACTGGTTTAGAGTTTGTCAGCTCCTTGGCAATTTGCTTGAATGGATGAGAGGAAGGAGACTCGCTAGGGGACACACCCCACAGCAGGTTCTTAGATTTGGATTCAAGCCTTGAAAGCCCTGTTGAGAAACACGTCCTTTGCCAAGGGGAGAGGAGGGAGTTTGGGGAGGGAAGGCGGGAGGATGAAAGGTGCTGTGCTCTGAGTTATGGTCCTTGTGCATGGACATGGGAGGAGGCATTACCTTCAGGGTGCTCAGATCTGGCTCTTCCCAATCCTGAATGACTAATCCTGACCTTTCTAAGTGGGTGAAGGACCACGAGCCTTCCTTCACAGCAGCTGCTGATGGTGCAGTACGGGTTGTTTGTGGGTGGAATTAAGGCTCGTATCTTCCATCACAGAGCTGTGAAGTTACTTCCTTGTAATACATTACCTGGGCAGGGCAAGAGTATTATCTTTTAAGTTGTTAAAATGCAGGGGGTTTATCTTGCCTATCTCTCCTTTATGGCCTGTAAAATCCAATGGGTACCACGCAATCAGCTTTATTGCTTAGTAGAGGGACAGTATAAAGAAGATGCACAAGGAAAATACTGAGCTTTTGAGCAGGGAGTGCTGCCTAAGAGCTGAAATAAAATAGAGGGAAAGTGGCTGAGCAGTCTCAGAAGACAGATGAACTGGAAAGGCAGAACATATGCACGTGCGTTTCCTGGGGAATCGCGAGGTCTGAGTACCCTTCGTGGTGCAGGCAGAAATCTGACTGCTGCTAAAGGGCAGACCGTGCCTGCAGGTCCCAGCTTTCGCTCAGTTTTATCCAATATTGTGTTTATATCCTGTAGAACAGCCCTTAGGATAGACAGTGGGCAAATAGAAGTGGTGAAGTGAAGCTGGTGTAGGTACGTGCTAGGATTCGAACGCCGCTTCGGTGAATTAAAAACCGATACAGAACAGCCCTTTGCTGAAGGAGATTGCTCTGAGGGCTGGAAAAAAAATTGAATCCTCCCTGCAAGGCCCACCATCCTTGCTAGATATGAGCTGTGAGGCTGCTCTTAGAAGAGCTCTGGGCCTCCTCGCTGAGCTTGCATGTTGACGCCTTGTGGAGTACACGTTTGATGACCTCGCCAAGAAAGACTCGGGAGCGCAGCACCATGGCCTCTCCACGTGGATCTGGGGCTGTGCTCGCCGCTGCTGAAATCCCAAAGCCTCCCAGGAGGGCTGGTGAGCAGCAAACCCAGTTTTCTGTGGGTACAGTGGAGAGACCCGTGGGGGTAAACGCTGCCAAACGAGGCTCTGAGCTTTGTGTTTTCTAAAACCCGCTGTAGGTTTGGGCTGAGGCCCCCAGGGTGTGGTTGCAGGACGAGGGGGCATCACTCTGCACACACCTCCATGTCTCCTGGGCTCCATGCTGGGTTCTGCACCGCGACATGCCTAACACTCTGTTGTGTAATCTGTGGTTTGGTGTCTGTGTTCCTCACTACTTTTGAAAACTTCCCTCTTTCTTCTTTACAAGTGCAGTCAAAGTGTTGGGGTCGCTATAGTGAGACAGCTCTGCAGTAACACTTGGATCAGTTTTGGACACGGGGGCAGGTTGGGCAGAAATTGGCATTTTTACCCTCCTCCCCCCCCACCCTTCCTTTTCATTCAGACTCTTTGAACATCACACTTGTTTTTGCTAGTGTATGTCATGTTCCCCAGCAAAATCATCTTGCAGTAACCAGCATTTAAATGCAAATGGTGGAATGTAATGCGAAATATATCTCTGAAGTAAAAAAGGAAAACAGTTTGAGTATTGGCTGAACTGAAATCATTCTTTCTAAAAATGATTAGGACCTTCGGGAGAAAAACTGGGAAGCAATGGAAGCATTGGCATCAACTGAAAAATTGCTGCAGGACAAAGTGAACAAGACTGCCAAGGTTGTAATGTTGACTGCTAGAAACGATGCGTTAAGCTAGAAGCAGATCTGCAGCTGGTTTTTTTTTTAAGTGAAATGGAGACATCTAACTTTTACTGCAGTTTAAGTATAATCTCTTCTGAGTGATCATTCATATACTCTCACCTCTGCTTCTTCCTGTTGTCTTTAGGTTTATTTATTTATTTTTTAATTGTTAGTTTGTGGGCATGCTGACTTTTGATTTCCGTTTGCGTAATTGTTAGAGCTGTCGTGAACCGTGTTTTGATTTTTGTGGGGAGCTCCAGAATAAAAGCTGTGCTGGTGAGCAACCTGCTTTCTCCTACTGGGCTTTGGCTGTGCTTGAACAAATCTGTTGGACCTGTGAAGAACTGGGAGTAAATTGTTACTTAAAAACCTGGGAGCTTCTCAGGAAAATGGTGTGAATTTTTTTCCTTGAAGGCACGTGAAGCTCGACAGGGACCAATGCTCAAAACCATACTCTGCTGTGGGCCTGATTCAGTGTTAATTGTCAAAAATAACAAAAAAAAAGGCATCAGAGTAACTTCTGGAACGCTAAGTCAGGTAGCTGGAGGCAGAGGAGCTCTGATCTGGGGTTGTGTGGCTGTGTTTCGGAGGCGTCTCCGCTCTCGGCTGGCCCCGCGTTCAGGGAGGTTTGTGCCTGCTCTTGCTGTGTTGCTAACGCTTTGCCTGCTTTCTCTTGCAGTTGGGAGACCTCACCCAGCAGCCACTTGCCACTTCTTGGGGGTTCCTAAATTGCTGCCAACTAACACACTTAGCACAACTTCACAGCCTTAATGTCTCGTTTCTGTCTCTGAATCCCAACCCGCTCTCACCACCGACCTCTTGCAGCGGGGGAACTCAGAGCAGTAACAGTGATGTCAAAGGAAAAAAAAAAAAACAACCAAACAAGTATCAGTGAAGGATTGTAGCTGAAAGCTGCATTCTCTGAAGGGGTTCCAGGCTTTCTACATTTAAATTTAAATGGGAGCCTGAGCGTGGTGGGGCTAAATTAACCCAATCTGCCACAAGCACAGCAAGCACGTGTCCTGTGGCTGCTCTGCTTTAAATGTTAAATACGTGGAAGGATGGATCTGTGGTGCCCTTGGCTCTGGGTGTTTATATTGGCAGAGCAGTAACAAAGAAAGAAAAAGCTGGAGATTGTCACACAGCTCTAATAATTATTTCCCATTGCATCCAGGGTTGGGAAAGGAGGATGTAAGGGTCTTCCTCTTGAGTACTCAATGTTTAGAAGTCTTACTTTCTTGGCCTGGTTCAAATGTGCATTGACACAAAGTTCCCTTTAGATTTTAATTCTCTGTTTTTGATGTGATGACCTTAACTTGAGGTGATTTTTTTTTTTCCACACCTAAAATTGCTTAAAAAGCATGGATTTAAAAAAAAAAAAAAAAAGAAAAAGTTGATTGACCAAACTACTTGTTTTTGAGCTCGCTCAAGTTGAGTGGCAGGGTCGGTGTGATCTGTGGATGCAGTTACTCAGCACAGCGTAGTTTGTGTTGTGAACAAGTGACTGATGGGTGTGATTTCTGTACAACCAGGCTAGATTGGAGGAGAACATCAGAAAATAAAAGCTTAAGCGAGAACAAATGTGAAGGCCAAATTCTGAGGCAATTCAGTGTCCATTTTTGAACCAATTTACCGGCAATTTCAGAGACTATAGCGCCTTTCTCACTTATAAAAGGACTTGCTGGGTTAAGTGAGTTACTGTAGGCATAGGAGAGGCTATTGCCAGGTCTGTGGAGGGCTTTTTTACCCCCTATTTCATGTGAGCTCTTCTCTTGCTTTAGGAGAAGCAGCAGCATTTGGAAGCTGCCGAGGTGGAGACACGTGAACTCCTCCAGAAGCTGTTCCCTAAAGTCTCTCTTCCTTCTAATGTGGTAAGAGAAGTGGCTTTTCTTTAACCTTCTGCTGGGAACCAGGGAGCTCTGCTCCTGCTGTGCTGGCCAGTCTGGAGTGTTCCCTCACAGTCCCCTCTGTCCCAAGGCTCTTGCAGTGGGACAGGAGTGTCTTGCTGATGGTGCCTTGTACATCCTGCCAGCTGAGAGGCAAAGCTGCAGATGGTTACCTCTAGCCAAGTGTTAAAAAAGAAATCATCATTATCTTGTGTTTTCTTTTTGGCCCAATATCCAATTTACCTGCCTGTGTCATCTTGTAGCCGAGACAGTAAATTTTCAGGGGTGAATGAGGTCTGCTGTGTGTTTGCTCACTGTCTGGCACAATGGGGATCCATCTTCCCCTCCCCTTTCTGGAGGAGATGTGCTGCCTCAGTGACAACTAAAGCAGTTCAGGAGGGTTTACTCTGTTCCCAAGCACTGATTTCCAGTTTTATATCCTGTGGTGGCTGTCAGTTGTTTGCAGGGGAAGTGCACTGGGTTCACGTGGTTCAGATGGGGTGAGTGAAGTGAAGTGAAGCTGGGGAAAATGGGGTTTGCATTCCATTTATAACGTCTAGAGGGTTTGAATATTCATATTTAAAATTGTTCCCAAATGTGCTAAACTTAGTCTCCTGATGAGCCAGTCTTTAAAAAGACTCGTTTCTGTAAGGTTATAAAACAGCCTTCCTAGAATTACACGGTTAAGTGTCTGCTTTAATTGCTCAGGGATTTTTGGAAAAGATTCCCTTAAATCTTCAAATACTTCTTGTGTGGAAGCCTGACACTTGCAGGGAGTCCCTCTGCCACCCAGCTGTATTTCAGCACATCCAAGCCCCTGTG